GGTCCCAAAATTGCTGAAAACGGTCCCAAAATGGTCTCAAAAGTGTCCCCGGAGGTGTCCCCAAATGTGGGCCCAAAATGGTCAAAAATGGTCTCAAAATGGCCCCAAGATGGCCGCCAATGTCCTGAGGTGTCACCAAATGTCTTCCTCAAAATGGCCGCCAGTGTGCCCCAAAATGGCTGCCAGTGTCACCAAATAGGCCCCAAAATAGGCCCAAAACGGCCCCAAAACCGGCCAAAAATGGCCCCAAATGTGTCCCAAAATGGGTCTCAAATGTGTCCCCAAAAATGTCCCCACAGGTGTCCCCAAATGGCCCCAAAATGGCGAAAAATGGGCTCAAAATGGCGAAAAATGGTCTCATAATGACCCCAAGACGGCCGCCAATGTCCTGAGGTGTCACCAAATGCCCTCCTTAAAATGGCCGCCAGTGTCACCAAAATGGCACCAAAATGGCCCAAAATAGTCCCAAATGTGTCCCCAAATGTCCCCAAATGTCCCCAATGTCCTCAATGTCCCCAATGTCCCCAACGCCCCCAATGTCCCCAATGTCCCCAATGTTCTCAAGGTTCTCAGATGTCCTCAGTGTCCCCAATGCCCCAATGTCCCCAATGGCTCCAACATCTCCAATGTCCCCAATGTCCCCAATCCCCCAATGTCACCAATGTCCTCCATGTTCTCAAGGTTCCCAGATGTCTCCAACATCTCCAATTTCCTCAATGTCCCCAATGTCCCCAACACTCTCAATGCCCCCAATGTCCTCAGTGTCCCCAATGTTCTCAAGGTTCCCAGATGCCTCCAACATCTCCAATGTCTCCAATGATCCAATGTCCCAAACACCGCCAATGTCCCCAATGTCCCCGATGTCCCCAACAACCCCAACATCCCCAACGTCCCCAACACCCCCAATGTCCCCGATGTCCCCTCACCTGTCAGCGGTGGCCACACCCTCCTGGGCAGCTCCAGGCAGAGCTGCCGGCGCTGGCGCAGCCGCTGTCCCCACCGGCTGTCCCCGCGCAGTGCCTGTGCCAGCCTGTCCCCGAGTGTCCCCAAGGGTCCCCAGTGTCCCAGAACCCCTCAATGTCCTCAATGTCCCCCAATGTCACAGTGCCCTCAATGTCCCCAATGTTCTCAATGTCCTCAATGTGTCCGAGGTGTCCAATATCTCCAATGGTCCCAAAGTCCTCAATGTCCCCAACGTCCCCAACACCCCCAATGTCCTCAATGTCCCAAATGTTCTCAATGTTCTCCAATGTCCCCAATGTCTCCAATGCCTCCAATGTCCCCAATGTTCCCCAATGTCCCCAATGTCCCCAATGTTCTCAAAGTTCTCAGATGTCTCCAACATCTCCGATGTCCCCAATGTCCCCAACACCCCAATGTCGCCAATGTTCCAAAATGGCCCAAATGTTCTCAATGTCCCCAACACCCTCAATGTCCCCAACACCCCCAATGTTCCCAACGTCCCCAACACCCCAATGTCCCCGATGTCCCCTCACCTGTCAGCGGTGGCCACACCCTCCTGGGCAGCTCCAGGCAGAGCTGCCGGCGCTGGCGCAGCCGCTGTCCCCACCGGCTGTCCCCGCGCAGCGCCCGCGCCAGCCTGTCCCCGAGTGTCCCCAAGGGTCCCCAGTGTCCCAGAACCCCCCAGTGTCCTCAATGTCCTCCATGTCCTCAGTGTCCACGATGTCTCAATGTGTCCAATGTCCCCCAGTGTCCCCAATGCCTCCAATGTTCTCAAGGTTCCAGATGTCCCAAATTCCTCAATGTCCCCAATGTTCTCAATGTCCTCAATGTGTCCGAGGTGTCCAATATCTCCAATGGTCCCAAAGTCCTCAATGTCCCCAACGTCCCCAACACCCCCAATGTCCTCAATGTCCCAAATGTTCTCAATGTTCTCCAATGTCCCCAATGTCTCCAATGCCTCCAATGTCCCCAATGTTCCCCAATGTCCCCAATGTCCCCAATGTTCTCAAAGTTCTCAGATGTCTCCAACATCTCCGATGTCCCCAATGTCCCCAACACCCCCAATGTCGCCAATGTTCCAAAATGGCCCAAATGTTCTCAGTGTCCCCAACACCCTCAACGTCCCCAACACCCCCAATGTTCCCAACGTCCCCAACACCCCCAATGTCCCCGATGTCCCCTCACCTGTCAGCGGTGGCCACACCCTCCTGGGCAGCTCCAGGCAGAGCTGCCGGCGCTGGCGCAGCCGCTGTCCCCACCGGCTGTCCCCACGCAGCGCCTGTGCCAGCCTGTCCCCGAGTGTCCCCAAGGGTCCCCCCTCCTGGCAGGCGCCGGCGCGGGGTCCCCGAAGGTCCCCGCACACCAGCGGCATCTGGGACAGGGCCACCAGCACCTCCTGGGAGCCGTTGGTGGCCAACAAGGAGCCGTCGTTGTCCAGCGAGCACCACGAGGCCACCTGGAGCACGAACGGGGCTGAGAGGGACAAAAAATTAATATTTTAATGCAATTTTGGGGATTTTTGGGGAGATTTTTTAGAATTTTTTGGAGATTTTTTTGGGGGGATTTTATTTTGATTTTTGGGGAATTTATTTCGATTTTTGGGGAATTTTTTTTAGGATTTTTTTCTATTCTATTTTGATTTTGGGAATTTTTTTAGGATTTTTTAGCAGGACTGTTTTGGTGATTTTTTAATTTTTTGTGGATTTTTAGGAGATTATTTTGGGATTCTATTTTGATTTTAGGGGGTTTTTTAAGATTTTTTTTCTGGAAATTTGGTGATTTTTTTGGATGATTTGTGGCTTTTTTGTGGAATTTTCTGGATTTTTTGGTGGTCTTTTGGGATTTTTTTACTTTTTTTGGAATTTTCAGGGATTTTAGTGGGTTTTGGGGCATTTTATTTTGATTTTTAAGGGGATTATGAGGATTTTTTTGGGATTTTTTTTGTGGTCTTTAGGGATTTTTTTAGGATTTTTAAAAGGATTTGGGGTTTTTTTCTGATTTTTTGGGGATATTATTTCATCTTTTTGAGGGCTTTTTAAGGATTTTTGGGGGATTTTTTCTGATTTTTGAGGATTTTTGTTTGGTTTTTTTTTAGGATTTTGGGTAGGATTTTGGTGGGATTTTTTAATGCCCCCCCCAACCTCCCCAAATTCCCAATTTTTCCCCCCAAAATCCGCGCCCCTCCCCCCAAACTTTATAGGGCGGATCCCCCCGACTCCCCCTCATTCCCAACTTCCCCTTTTCCCAAATTTCACCAAATTTTCCCCAATTTTTTTCCCGCCAAATCCACTTCCCACAAGGCAAAGCCCCTCCCAAAACCTTCCCAAATTCCCAATTTTTCACCCCAAAATCCGCGCCCCTCCCCCAAATCTTTATAGGGTGGATCCCCTCCGACCCCCCCTCATTCCCAGCTTCCCCTTGTCCCAAATTTCACCAAAATTATCCCAAATTTTTTCCCGGCAAATCCGCTTCCCACAAGGCAAAGCCCCTTCCCAAAACTTTGCCAAATTCCCAATTTTTCCCCCAAAATCTGCGCCCCTCCCCGCAAATCTTTATAGGGCGGATCCCCCCCGACCCCCCCTCATTCCCAACTTCCCCTTTTCCCAAATTTCACCAAAATTATCCCAAATTTTTTCCCGCCAAATCCGCTTCCCACAAGGCAAAGCCCCTTCCCAAAACCTTCCCAAATTCCCAATTTTTCACCCCAAAATCCGCGCCCCTCCCCCAAATCTTTATAGGGCGGATCCCCCCCGACTCGCCCTCATTCCAGCTTCCCCTTTTCCCAAATTTCACCAAAATTATCCCAAATTTTTTCCCGCCAAATCCGCTTCCCACAAGGCAAAGCCCCTTCCCAAAACTTTGCCAAATTCCAATTTTTCCCCCCAAAATCCGCGCCCCTCCCCGCAAATCTTTATAGGGCGGATCCCCCCGACTCCCCCTCATTCCCAACTTCCCCTTTCCCAAATTCCACCAATTTTTTCCCTTTTTTCCGCTCTTTTCCCCCAAATCCCCTCTCCTCACCGGCCCCGGGAGCTCCGAGCGCCGCCAGCAGCAGCGGCAGCGGCAGCATCGCGAACTGGGACGAACTGGACCAACTGGGAGGGCCTGGGAGGTGTTTTTGGGGACATTTAGGGACATTTTGGGGCAGCCAATGGGAGCGCGAGGAGGGCGCGCGTCATTTGTTGCCAGGCAGGGCTGGTCTGGGGGAGGACGCGAGAGAGACTTGGAGCGAACTGGGAGGGGACTGGGATGGACTGGGAGGGAATTGGGGGGAATTGGGATGGACTGGGAGGGACTGGGACAAACTGGGATGGACTGGGATGGACTGGGGCGGACTGGGATGAACTGGGATGGACTGGGAGGGAATTGGGGGGGAATTGGGATGGACTGGGAGGGACTGGGACAAACTGGGAGGGACTGGGAGGGACTGGGAGGGACTGGGAAGGAACTGGGGGGGACTGGGAGGGACTGGGACAAACTGGGATGGACTGGGAGGAACTGGAACAAACTGGGAGGGACTGGGAGTGAATTGGGATGGACTGGGATGGACTGGGAGGGTCTGGGACAAACTGGGAGGGACTGGGATGAACTGGGAGCCACCACCAGGACCAGGACTGGGATAAAACAAGGACTGGGACCAGAACTGGGACCGGGACTAAAACCAGGACCAGGACCAGGACCAGGACCAGGACTAAAACCAGGACCAGGATCAGGATCAGGACTAAAACCTGGACTGGTACCAGAACTAGAACTGGGACTAGAATTAGGATCAGGACTAAAACCAGGACCAGGACGAGAATAGAACTGGGATTGGGACCAGGGTCAGGACTAAAACCTGGATCAGAACCACGACCAGGATCAGGATCAGGATCACAACTAAAACCAGGACCAGAATCAGGACTGGGATCAGATCCAGGACCAGGACTAAAACCAGGACCAGGACCAGAACCCGAATCAGGACTAAAGCCAGGACCAAACCCAGCGCTGACACAAACAAGGACACGACTCTGCCAAAATTTGGATTTATTGAGCAAAGTCGGGGCTTAACTCCCAAATTCCCAAATCCCCGATTCCCACCGGGATGAGCTCAGCCTGCGAACGGAAACACAAAACCGGGATTAGGGCCGGGACTGGGACTGGGATTAGGGCTGGGATTAGGACTGGGATTAGGGCTGGGACTGGGAGTGAGATTGGGATCGGAATTGGGACTGGGATTGGGATTAGGGTTTGAACCGGGACTGGGATTAGGGTTTGAACTGGGATTGGGATTGGAATTGGGACTGGGATTGGGGCTAAAACTGGGACTGGGACAGGGACTGGAATTGGGATTAGGGCTGGGACTGGGAGTGGGATTGGAATTGAGACCAGGATTGGGACTGGGACTGGGATTAGCGCTACGATTGGGACTGGGACTGGAATAAGGGTTTGGACTGGGATTGGAATTGGGACTGGGATTGGGGTTAAGGCTGGGATTGGGGCTGGGACTGGAACTTGGACTGGGATTGGGACTGGGATCTGAATTGGGACTGGAATTAGGACCGGGACTGGGTTTAGGGCTGGGACTGGGATTTGGACCAGGATTGGGGCTGGGGCTGGGACTGGGATCAGAATTAGATCTGGGATTGGGACTGGGACCAGAACTGGGGCTGGGATTGGAAGTAGAACTGGGATCAGGACCAGAACCAGTATTGGGACTGGGATTGGGACTGGGATTGGGACCAGGCCCAGGCCCAGGCCCAGGCCCAGGCCCAGAACCAGGCCTGGGCTTAGGCCAGGATGGGTTCCTGCTGGCCAGCAGGGCCAGGCCCAGGCTTAGGCCCAGGCCCAATCCCAGGTTTAGGCCCAGGTTTAGGCCCAGGTTTAGGCCCTGGTTTAGGCCCAGGCCCAGGTTTAAGCCCAGGTTTAGGCCGGGCCTATCCCGTACCGTGTGGGTCCCTGCGGGCCAGCAGGGCCAGGCCCAGGTTTAGGCCCAGGCCCAGGTTTAGGCCCAGGTTTAGGCCGGGCCTATCCCGTACCGTGTGGGTCCCTGCGGGCCAGCAGGGCCAGGCCCAGGTTTAGGCCCAGGCCCAGGTTTAGGCCCAGGTTTAGGCCGGGCCTATCCCGTACCGTGTGGGTCCCTGTGGGCCAGCAGGGCCAGGCCCAGGCCCAGCAAGGCCAGGACCAGCCCCAGGGCCAGCGCGGCTCCGGCCAGAGCCGTGTCCAGCTGCTCGTCCAGCGCCGTGTCCGGAGCCACTGCGGACACGGACACGAGGTTACCCCAAAAACCCACCCAAAAATACCCCAAAATGTCCCCAAAATCACACAAAAATATCCCCAAAAATCACACAAAAATACCCCCAAATATCCCCAAAAATACCACAAAAATCCTACAAAAATCATACAAAAATCACCCAGGAACGCACCAAAAATACCCCCAAAATACCCCCAAATATCCCCCGAAATGCCCCAAAAACCCACCCAAAAATACCCTAAAATATCCCGAAAATCGCACAAAAATATCCACCAAATATCCCCAAAAATGCCCCAGAAATCCACCGCAAATTATCCCAAAATTCACACAAAAATATCCACCAAAATATCCCCAAAAATACCCCAGAAATCCACCCAAAATACCCACAAATATACCAAAATTCACACAAAAATATCCCCAAATATCCACAAAAATACCCCCAAAAATACCCAAAAATGCCCCAGAAATCCACCCCAAATACCCCCAAAATATCCCAAAATTCACACAAAAATATCCCCAAACATCCACAAAAATACCCCCCAAAATACCCAAAAATGCCCCAGAAATCCACCCCAAATACCGCAAAAATCACACAAAAATATCCCCAAAAATCACACAAAAATACCCCCAAATATCCCCAAAAATACCACAAAAATCCTACAAAAATCATACAAAAATCACCCAGGAACGCACCAAAAATACCCCAGAAATCCACCGCAAATACCCCAAAATATCCCAAAAATCACACAAAAATATCCCCAAATATCCACAAAAATCCCACAAAAATACCCCCAAATATCCCCCAAAATCACCAAGAATCCACCAAAAATCACCTCAAAGTACCCCCAAAATCACCTAGAAAATCCAGAAAAATCCCCAAAAAACCCTAAAAAAACCCCAGAAAATCTAAAAAATCCCCCAAAATCAGGAAAAATCATCAAAAATTCTCCTGAAAATCCCAAAAGCTCCCCAAAAAATCCCCCCAAAAAATCCTAAAAAATCTCAAAAAAAATCCCCAAAAAAATCCCCCCAAATAAATCTAAAACACCTCCTAAAAATCTCAAAAAATCCCCATAAAATCCCCCCCAAAATCCTAAAAAATCCCCAAAAAATCCCAAAAAATTCCCAAAAAATCCCCAAAATACTAAAAATCCCCAAAATACTAAAAATCCCCCAAAAAATCCAAAAAAATCCCCCCAAAAATCTCAAAAAATCCCAAAAAAATCCCCAAAACAATCCCCCAAAAAATCCCAAAAATCCCCAAAAAATCCTCAAAAAATCCCAAAAAATCACAAAAATCCAAAAAATCCCCAAAATTCCCAAAATTCCCCCCAAAAATCTCAAAAATCAAAAAAAAAATCCCCCAAAACATCCCGCCCTAAAAAATCCTAAAAATCCCCAATAAGTCCCCCAAAAATGATGAAAAATCATGAAAAAATCCCCAAAATTCCCCAAAAAATCCCCAATAATCCTAAAAAATCCCCCCAAAATCCTAAAAAAATCCTCAAAAAATCCTCAAAAATCCCCCAAAAAATCCCAAAAAATCCCCAAAAATCCACCAAAAATTTCCAAAAACTCCTAAAAAAATCCCCAAAAAATCTCAAAAAAAAAAAAAAATCCCCCAAAAATCCCCCAAAAATCCCAAAGAATCCCTAAAAATCCTCAAAAAAATCCCAAAAATTCCCAAAAAATTCCAAAAAATCCCCCAAAAATGTCCAAGAAGTCGGCAAAAAAATAATGAAAAATCATGAAAAATCTCAAAAAATCCCAAAAAAATCCTCAAAAAAATCCCAAAAAAAAATCCCAAAAAATCCCCAAAAATCCCAAAAAATCGCCAAAAAAATCCCAAAAATTCCCCAAATCCCCCCAAATTCCCGCTCACCCCAGTAGGCCACGCTGGTGGTGCCGTTGTCCCCGCCGAGGTGACCGCGCAGGCCACGACGTCCCCGGGCCGGGCGGTGACGGAAACGCGGGAAACCCTCACGAAGGTCACAAAAAATAATCCAAAAGTGACCCAAAAATTGCCCCAAATCTGCCAAAAAGTCATTTAAAAATCCCCCAAAAAATCCTCAAAAATCCCCCAAAAAAATCCTCAAAAAATCCTAAAAATCCCTTAAAAATCCCAAAAAATCCTCAAAAAATCCCCCAAAAAATCCCCAAAAATCCACCAAAAATTTCCAAAAATTCCCAAAAAATTAAAAAAAATCCCAAAAAAATCCCCCAAAAAATCCCAAAGAATCCCAAAAAAATCCCCCCAAAAATTCCAAACAAAAACCCAAAAAATTCCCCCAAAATCCCCAAAAAATCCTCAAAAATCCCAAAAAATCTTCAAAAATCCCCCAAAAAATCCTAAAAAATCCTCAAAAAAATCCCAAAAATCCCAAAAAAATCCCAAAAATTCCCCAAATCCCCCCAAGCGCCCTCACCCCAGTAGGCCACGCTGGTGGTGCCGTTGTCCCCGCCCGAGGTGACCGCGCAGGCCACGACGTCCCCGGGGCCGGGCGGTGACGGAAACGCGGGAAATCCTCACGAAGGTCAGGTCGGCCTTGGGGACGAAGGGACCCGAGGTGACCCCGCGGGTGACGCCGAGCCCGGCCACCGTCCACGAGATGGACGCGGACGGCGGGAAGATGTTCTCCACCACGCACACCAGGGTGGTGGCACCATCTGGGGATGGGGGACGCGCCGGGAACACCGAGAGCACCGGGATTCCTGGGGAGAAAATGGGAAAAATTGGTTAAAAATCAAAATTATGGTTAAAAAAATGGGAAATATGGGAGAAATAATGGGAAAAATGGGGTTGGGAATGGAGGGAATGGGCTGGGAGATGTTCTCCACCAGGCACACCAGGGTGGTGGCACCAGGGACAACGAGACCATCAGGATTCCTGAGGAGAAAAATGGGGATAATTGGTTTAAAATGGGAAAATATGGGTTAAAAAATGGGAAATATGGGATTTGGAATGGGAAAAGTGGGATTGGGAATGGAGGGAATGGGCTGGGAGATGTTCTCCACCAGGCACACCAGGGTGGTGGCACCGCCCGGGGACGGGGGACGCGCCGGGAACACCGAGAGCACCGGGATTCCTGGGGGGAAAATGGAAAAAAATTAAAATTATGGGAGAAATAACGAGAAAAATGGGTCAAAAAATGGGAAAAATGGGGTTGGGAATGAAGGGAATGGGATGGGAGATGTTCTCCACCAGGCACGCCAGGGTGGTGGCACCAGGGACAACGAGACCATCAGGATTCCTGAGGAGAAAAATGGGGAAAATTGGTTTAAAATGGGAAAATATGGGTTAAAAAAATGGGAAATATGGGATTTGGAATGGGAAAAGTGGGATTGGGAATGGAGGGAATGGGATGGGAGATGTTCTCCACCAGGAACATCAGGAACATCGAGGCCACCAGGATTCCTGGGAGAAAAATGGGAAAAAATTGGGTTAAAAATGAAAATTATGGGAGAAATAATGGGAAAAATGGGATTTGGAATGGGAAAAGTGGGATTGGGATTGGAGGGAATGGGATGGGAGATGTTCTCCACCAGGAACACCAGGAACATCGAGACCACCAGGATTCCTGAGGAGAAAAATGGGAAAAAATTGGTTAAAATGGGAAAAAATGGAAAAATAATGGGAGAAATAATGGGAGAAATAATGGGAAAATGGGAAAAATTATGGGAAAAGTGAGGAAAATGATGGAGGGAATGGGATGGGAGATGTTCTCCACCAGGAACACCAGGAACATCGAGACCACCAGGATTCCTGGGGAGAAAAATGGGAAAAATGGGGAAAAAATGGAAAAACAGGGCTGGACAAATAGGAAAAAATGAAAAAAAATGGGAATGAGAATTATTCACGGTTTCCATCCGTTCATCCCCCAAATTTCCACACTCTCCATCCCAAGTTTCTCCTCAGTTTCGATTCCTCCATCCCCAAATTTCCCACAATTCCATCCCAAATTTCACTCTCCATCCCCAAATTTCTCACAATTCCATCCCAAATTTTCACTCTCCATCCCCAAATTTCTCACAATTTCCATCCCAAATTTTCACTCTCCATCCCCAAATTTTCTCACAATTTCCATCCCAAATTTTCACTCTCCATCCCCAAATTTCCCACAATTTCCATCCCAATTTTCACTCTCCATCCCCAAATTTTCCCACAATTTCCATCCCCAAATTTCACTCTCCATCCCCAAATTTCCCACAATTTCCATCCCAAATTTTCACTCTCCATCCCAAATTTTCTCACAATTTCCATCCCAAATTTTCACTCTCCATCCCAAATTTTTCCCACGTTTTTCGGCCCATTCCTCCCCAGTTTTCCCCACATTTCTCCTCCTTCCGCCTCCCCATTTTTTCCGCATTTTCTGACTCACCTTCCCCAAATTTTCCCACATTTCCGTCCCTTCATCCCCAAATTTTCACTCTCCGTCCCCAATTTTCCACAGTTTCCCTCCCTTTATCCCCCAATCATTTCCACATTTCCGCCTTTTAATCCCAAATTCCACATTTTAACCCCTTTCATCCCCAAATTTATCCTGCATTTCCACCCTTTCATTCCCAAATTTTCCCCACATTTCCACCCTTTCATCCCCCATTTTCCCCACATTTTAACCCTTTCATCCCCCATTTTCCCCCCACATTTCCCACCCATTTCCCACCAAATTTCCCCCACATTTTAACCCTTTCAACCCCCAATTTATTGCAAATTTTCCCCCACATTTTAACCCTTTCATCCCCCATTCCCCCCACATTTTAACCCTTTCATCCCCAATTTCCCCCACATTTCCCACCCATTTTCACCCAATTTCCCCCACATTTTAACCCATTCATCCCCCATTTCCTCCCACATTTTAACCCTTTCATCCCCCCAATTATTCCAATTTTTCCCCCACATTTTAACCCTTTCATCCCCCATTCCCCCCCCCACATTTTAACCCCTTTCATCCCCAATTTTTTCCACATTTCCCACCCATTTTCACCCAATTTCCCCCCACATTTTAACCCTTTCATCCTCATTTTTCCCCACATTTAACCCTTTCATACCAAATTTTCCCCACATTTTTAACCCTTTCATCCCCAGTTCTTCCCAAATTTCCCTGCATTTTCCACCATTTCATCCCAGACTTTTGCCACATTTTAACCCTTTCATCCCCAAATTTTCCCACATTTTCCCACGCATTTTCATCCCAAATTTTTCCCCACATTTTTAACCCTTTCATCCCCCATTTTTCACGCATTTTCACCCAATTTCCCACCACATTTTTAACCCTTTCATCCCCAGTTTTCTCCTAAATTTCCCCCACATTTTTAACCCTTTCATCCCTATTTTCCCCACACTTTTAACCCTTTCATCCCCAATTTTTTTCCCCACTTCCAACCCATTTTCCCACCCCAATTTCCCCCCACATTTTTAACCCTTTCATCCCCCAATTTCTCCCAAATTTCCCCCCACATTTTTAACCTTTCATCCCCGATTTTTCCACACATTTTAACCCTTTCATCCCCCAATTTCTCCCAAATTTTGCCCACAGTTTTAACCCTTTCATCCCCAATTTTTTCCCACATTTCCCACCCATTTTCACCCAATTTCCCCCCACATTTTTAACCCTTTCATCCCTCAATTTCTCCCCCACCTACCCCTGGCCTGCGGCAGCAGCCCGCCGAGCTGCTTGCCCAGCATCCCCAGGATCTCCTGGCACATTTGCGCCTCCGGCCCAAATTTTGTCCATATTTTTAACCAATTTCTCCCAAATTTTCCCCACATTTTTAACCCTTTCATCCCCAGTTTTTTCCCACCCATTTTCACCCATTTTCCCCCCACATTTTTAACCCTTTCATCCCCCATTTCCCCCACATTTTTAACCCTTTCATCCCCCAATTTTTCCCCCCACCTACCCCTGGCCTGCGGCAGCAGCCCGCCGAGCTGCTTGCCCAGGATGCCCAGGATCTCCTGGCACATTTGCGCCTCCGGCCGGAGCTCCGCGGGCGCCTCCAGCCCCTCGGGCCAGGCCGGCAGCTCGGGGCCCGCGGGCACCCAGCGGGAGCGCGGGAACTGGAACCAGGCCAGGCCGCGCCCGTCCAGGGTCACCGAGAGCGACAGCGACGGAGCGTCCGGCTGGCACGAGAGCAGCTCGGCCAGGACGTGCGGGGCGGCTGCGGAGGGGAAACGGGGAGAGAAATTGGGGATGGAGAAAGGGGGGACGGAGAGATGGGGAGGGAAATGGAGGAGGGAAATTGGGGGATGGAGAAAGGGGGGATGGAGAAGGGAGAGGGAAATGGGGGAGGGAAATTGGGGATGGAGAAAGGGGGGACGGAGAAGGGAGAGGGAAATGGGGGAGGGAAATTGGGGATGGAGAAAAGGGGGACGGAGAGATGGGGAGGGAAATGGAGAGGGAAATGGGGGATGGAGAAAGGGGGGGATGGAGAAGGGAGAGGGAAATGGGGGAGGGAAATTGGGGATGGAGAAGGGGGGACGGAGAGATGGGGAGGAAATGGAGGAGGGAAATTGGGGATGGAGAAAGGGGGGATGGAGAAGGGAGAGGGAAATGGAGGAGGAAATTGGGATGGAGAAGGGAGAGGGAAATGGGGGAGGGAAATTGGGGGATGGAGAAAGGGGGGATGGAGAAGGAGAGGGAAATGGGAGAGAAATTGGGGATGGAGAAAGGGGGGACGGAGAGATGGGGTGGGAAATGGGAGAGAAATTGGGGATGGAGAAAGGGGGGATGGAGAAGGGAGAGGGAAATGGGGGAGGGAAATTGGGGATGGAGAAAGGGGGGGACGGAGAAGGGAGAGGGGAAATGGGGGAGGGAATTGGGGATGGAGAGGAAGAAGGGGGATGGAAATTGGGGATGGAGAAAAGGGGGATGGAGAAGGGAGAGGGAAATGGGGGAGGGAAATTGGGGATGGAGAAAGGGGGGATGGAGAAGGGAGAGGGAAATGGAGGAGGGAAATTGGGGATGGAGAAATGGGGGATGGAGGGATGGGGAGGGAAATGGGGATGGAGAAAGGGAAATGAGGGATGGAGAGATGGAGAAAGGGAAATGGGGAAATGGGGAGAGAGAAATGGGAAGGGAGAGGGGAAATGGGGATGGAGAAAGGGAGAAGGGAAATGGGAGAGGGAAATGGGGGATGGAGAAAGGGGGGATGGAGAGATGGGGAGGGAAATGGGAGAGGGAAATTGGGGATGGAGAAAAGGGGGACGGAGAAGGGAGAGGGAAATGGGGAGGGAAATTGGGGATGGAGAAAGAGGGGATGGAGAAGGGAGAGGGAAATTGGGGATGGAGAAAGGGGGAGGGAAATGGGGAGGGGGAAATGGGGATGGAGAAAGGGGGAATGGAGAAGGGAGAGGGAAATGGGGAGGGGGAGATGGGGATGGAGAGGGAAGAGGGAGAAGGAAATTGGGAGATGGGGGAGGGAAATGGGAGAGGGAAATGGGGATGGGAATGGGAGAGGGAAATGGAGAGAGGGAGAGGGAGATGGGGATGGAGAGGGAGAGGGAAATGGGGAGAGGGAAATTGGGATGGGAATGGGAGAGGGAAATTGGGGGATGGGAGTGGGAGAGGGGGGATGGAGAGATGGAGAGGGAAATGGGGAAATGGGGGAAGGAAATGGGGAATGGGGATGGAGAAGGGAGGAGGGAAATGGGAAGGGAGAGGGAAATTGGGGATGGAGAAAGGGAAATGAGGGATGGAGAGATGGGGAGGGAAATGGGGAAATGGGGGAGGGAAATGGGAGAGGGAAATGGGGATGGAGAAAGGGGGAATGGAGAAGGGAGAGGGAAATGGGGAAAGGGAGAGGGAAATGGGGATGGAGAAAGGGGAGAGGGAAATGGGGAGGGAGAAAGGGAAATGAGGGATGGAGAGATGGAGAGGGAAATGGGGAAATGGGGGAGGGAAATGGGAGAGGGAAATTGGGGATGGAGGAATGGGGAACGGGAAGGGGAGAGGGAAATGGGAAGGGAGAGGGGAAATGGGGATGGAGAAACGGGGAGGGAAATGGGAGAGGGAAATGGGGATGGAGAGAGGGAAATGGGAGAGGGAGATGGGGAGGGGAATGCGATGGAGAAGGGAGAGGGAAATGGGAAATGGAGAGGGAGGGACGGGGAGGGAGAGGGAGGAGGGAGAGGGAAATGGGGAGGGAAGGGGAGAGGAAGAGGGAGGAGGGAAGCGGAGAGGGAAATGGAGAAGGAAGAGGGCAGAGGGAGGGGACAGGGAGGGAGAGGGGGAACGGGAGAGGGAAGGGGAACAGGGAGGGGACAAGGGAGGGGACACGGAGGGACCAGGGAGGATGAGGAAGGGGAGAGGGACAGCGGAGACCCCCGAAGGGACACGGAGGGCGGAGGTGACAGCGAAGGGACGGACGGACGCGACAGAGAGAGGACAAACACCGGAGAGAGGACAAACAACCAAAGAGAGAGGACAAACAGCAAAGTTAGAGCGCAAACCACCACAGTGAGACCGCGCCGCCCGTCCCCTCCCCGTCCCTCCACCTCTTACCGGGCTCAGCGACGGCCACGGCCACCAAAACCCCCCCGAGCAGCGCCCCGAGGACACCCATGGCCCCTCCGCGTCCCCAGTGTCCCCAAAGTCCCCACGCCGAGCCGCCCCGCGGGGTCCGACGCGGCGTCAGCCAATGGGAGAGCTCCGAGCCCGTGACGTCAGCGGTTGCCAGGCAGAGGAGCGCCGAGAGCGGCGCGGGGCCGGTGACAGAGCGCGGGGGGACGCGAGTGGGGGTGGGGGGGGGAAAAAGGGGCACCGAGACCCCCCCTAGGGGTCGCGTGGGGTTGGGGACACCCCCAAAGTGACCCCCTAAATTAGGGGGGTCATAAGTGACGTCACGGGGGTTAATGAGCGGCGTGGGGTTAATTAGTGGGGCGCGCGTGGGGGAGTGTGACGTCAGCGGGGGTGGCATTGGGACACCCCAGGAATTTTGGGGTGCCCCCCACCCCCCTAGAGATGTCGCGGAACCCCGTGGGAACACCTCAGGAATTTTTGGGGACCCCCAAATCCCTCCGTGGGTGTCCCCCAGCCTTTGTGGGACCCCCGTGGGCGCCCCACACTCTCATCCCAGCTCCCCAAGGATGTCACAGACACCCGTGGGGACACCCCAGGAATTTTTGGGGACCCCAAATCCCTCCATGGGTGTCCCCCAGCCTTTGTGGGACCCCCGTGGGGACACCCCAAGAAGTTCTGGGACCCCCGTGGGTGCCCCCCACCCTTCCTGAGACCTCCGTGGGTGCCCCCCACCCCTCCCAGGAATGTCCCAGACCCCCTTGGGGACACCCCAATAATTTTTGGGAACCCCCCCCAGGAATTTTTGGGACCCTCCCTCCCCACCCCCTCCACGGACCCCCGTGGGTTCCCCCCCCCACCCCGCGCTGCAGCGCTCCCCTCACTGCGCATGCGCGCGGCGCTAGGACCCCGCGGAGCCTTTCCCGCCACGCGGGGGGGGGGGGGGAGGGGAGGGGAGGGGGGGCCATGAATGGGGACCCGTGGGAGCCGCGGGGGAGCCACGTGACCGCCGCCAGCCAATCAGCGCGCGGGTGACGTAGCTCGTGGCTCCCTTTTCTGCCCCGGGATGGTTTTTTTTACCTTTTTTGCCCCAAACTCGGGGATTTTTAGGGCGGGAGGATTTGAAGGGAGAGGAGAGGGGGGCGGATGAAGCGGGGCCGAGCCCGGGGGTCGCGGCGCGAAGCGGGGGCGCCTCAGGTGAGTGCCGGGGGGGGGGCGGCCTCGCCCTGCCCCCCCCCCCCCCCAGCGGCGCGGAGGCGGGGGGAGGTCACGTGATGGCGGCGCGCCGTCAATCAGGCTTCATCCCGCCCTCTTTTCGGCGCTTCGACCAATAGGGAGGCGAGAAGCGGGTGATTGACAGCGGGGCGGGCGCGGCTTTGTGCGCGCGGCGGGGGCGGCGGTTTGTGGCGAAAAGCGCCATGTTTGGGTGTTCGCGCGGGGGCGGCGGCGGGCGCGGCCCCAAGTGCTGTGTCACGGTGGCGGTGGAGAGCCCCGGGGAGGGGGAAGGGAAGCGGACGCCACACGGAGCCACCCGTGTCCTGCGAGCCCCGGGGAGGAGGGGGTGGGGTGGGGAATGTGGAGAGGAAGAGGTCGGGAAGGACGCAAGAATTCCCTCAGCGAGGGGGGAGGAGGGCGAAAAGGGTCGGGGGGTCCCTGAGGGGGAGCCCGTGGGGGGGGTGGGGGTTCGGGGCTCCCCGGGGTTGGGGGTGAGGGGGGGATGGGGTTGGGGGGGGAGCGGCGTTTTGGGGTTTTAGCGGCGCCGGCGGCCGCGGGAGCGCCGTGTTCGTGGGGGTTGTCGCTCTCAGCGTGTGCTCAGGGAAAGGCTGGAGCCGCCCGAGCCCCTGTGGGCGCCGCGGGGAGCGGGGGCGACGCGGTGCGTGGCTGCCTGTGGGGGGGGGTGCGGGGTTGAACGGGGGATTGAGGGCTGGGAGAGCACCGCGAGGGGGGTGAGGCCCGGCGCGGGAACGTTCCCGGAGCTCGCTGCGGCCGAGGAGCGGCGGGGGAAGCGGCGGGTGCGGCCGCCACCGGCCGCGCTCATTGTCCGGCCGCGGCCACCGCCGCCATTCAAGATGGCGCCCGCCGGCCCCTTCTTCCTCCTTCGCCTCCCCCTCCTTCCCCCGGGGCGCCGCAGCCAATCGGCGGCTGAGCCCGCCCCCCGCGTGACCCGCCGGCCAATCAGCGCTGGGCGGGCTCCGCCGCCAGCCAATCACCGCCGAGGCGGCCGCGCGCGTCGGGTGAGGCGCTGGGCGGAAGGCCGGGAGGGGCGTGGAGCCCATCCGTTGATTGACGCCTCTCTTGCCCAATCGCACCCTTTCCCGGCGGGTGCCTCCGCCCAATGAGGCAGCGGCGGGGCGGGGAGGGGCGGTTGAGTGACGTCAGCCCGCGGGGCGTCCAATGGCGAGGCGGCTGAGGTCTATATAAGGGCGGGCGGGGGCAGGCCGAGCGGCGCCATTTCGCGGGGACGAAGGGACGGAGCGGGTCGGGCCCGGCGCGCGAGGGGGGCGGCCCCAACCCGGCTCCATCCCCCGCCTCCGCCGTCCCGGAGGGCTCCGGGACCCTCCCCGGACCCTCCCCGGCCTCCGCAGCGACCCCTGCCTGCGGCCACCGGCGGCGAGAAGGGGGGGGGGAAGACGCCTCCGCCCGGGCTTCTTTTCCACCACCTCCCTCCCTCCCTCCTCCTCCCCCCTCCTTCCCCTCAGCGAGCCAAGATGGAGCGCGGCCGCTGAGATTGCCGCTACGATATCCGCCGTCATCCGCCGCTCCGAGCGCGGCTCCTCGCCTCTTCCACCGCAGCCGAGGCCGCCGGGGGCCGGCAGCGACTCGGCCGAGCTTGTATCGAGCGGATCGCGCCGCGTTCGGCGGGTCCGGTGAGGCTCCGAAGGGACGATCCCCCCGCCGCTCTCCCCGCTCCATCGCGCCGTGTGTGTGTGCGTGCGGCCCCCCCGGTGCATCCCCTCAGAGCGCGCCGCCATTTTCGCCGCGCCCCGTGGATGTGAGGCCGCGCTCGGTTCTTTTTTTTTTTTTTTCCTCCTCCCTCCTTCATCATCTTCTGCCGCCGCTTGAGGAGCTCGGAAAGGGGAGGGGGCTCCCTTCAAGACCCCCCTCCCCTGGTACCGGGGATGCGCTGACGCTGGAGGGGCCCAAAGCGGGCCGGGAGCGGTGAAGCTTTGGCCGGGCAAAGTGGGGGCTCGTCGGAGGAGACGGCGGGAGGAGGAGGAGGCGGAGGAGGAGACGAAGGCCAGGCGGGCCCGAGGGCCTCAGCAGCAGCAGCAGCAGCAGCCGCCGGGATGTTGCAGAATGTGAATCCCCAGAGCAAGTAGGTGCTGGTGGTGGGGAGGCAATGGGGGTTTTGGGGGTGTTGGGGGGTTGAGGGGATGGGGTGCGCCGTGGGACAGCCGGGTTGTGGTTGGGGTGTTGTGACGGCGACACTGGGGACGCGGGGACCCCAAAATTGTGGCAGTGTCGCCGTGGGAGCCTCGTGCTGGGGCTGTCAACCCCAGTGCTGTGACAGTGACACTGGGGACCCACAAATCGTGGCAGTGTCACTGTGGGACATAATGTGACAGTGACACTGGGGACGCGGGGACCCCAAAATTGTGGCAGTGTCACCGTGCGTCCCTCGTGCTGGGGCTGTCACCCCCCAGTGCTGTGACAGTGACATTGGCACCCCAAAATTGTGGCAGTGTCACTGTGGGACATAATGTGACAGTGACGCTGGGGACACAGGGACCCCAAAATTGTGACTGTGGCACTGTGGGACCCCTACATTGGGGATGTGTCACCCCAATGCTGTGACAGTGACATTGGGGACCCCCAAATCGTGGCAGTGTCACTGTGGGACATAATGTGACAGTGACACTGGGGACACAGGAACCCCAAAATTGTGGCAGTGTCACCGTGGGGTGCCTGTGCTGAGTTTGTGTCACCCCAATGCTGTGACAATGACATGGGGGCCCCTAAATTGTGGCTGTGGCACTGTGGGGTGCCTGTGCTGTGACAGTGACATTGGGGACCCCCCAGTTTGTGGCTGTGTCATTTTGGGACCCCCACATTGTGGCTGTGTCACCCCAGTGCTGTGACAGTGACACTGGGGACACAGGGACCCCAAAATTGTGGCAGTGTCACCGTGGGACCCTCATGCTGGGGCTGTCACTCCCCAGTGCTGTGGCAGTGACATTGGGGACCCCAAATTGTCACTGTGGGACCCCTGTGCTGTGTCACCCCTGTGCTGTGACAGTGACATTGGGACCCCCAATTTGTGGCTGTGTCACCCCAGTGCTGTGACGGTGACATTGGGGACACAGGGACCCCCAAATTGTGGCTGTGTCACCCTGGGACTTCAGTTCTGGGTCTGTGTCACCCCAGTGCTGTGACAGTGACATTGGGGACCCCCAAATCGTGGCAGTGTCACTGTGGGACATAATGTGACAGTGACATGGGGACACAGGGACCCCAAAATTGTGGCTGTGGCACTGTGGGACCCCTACATTGGGGATGTGTCACCCCAGTGCTGTGACAGTGACATTGGGACCCCCAATTTGTGGCTGTGTCACCCCCAGTGCTGTGACGGTGACATTGGGGACACAGGGACCCCAAAATTGTGGCAGTGTCCCCGTGGGTCCCTCGTGCTGGGGCTGTCACCCCCGTGCTGTGACAATGACACTGTGGGACCCCTGTGCTGGGTCTGTGTCGCCTCCGGGCTGTGACAGTGACATGGGGGTCCCTAAATTGTGGCAGTGTCACCATGGGAGCCTCGTGCTGGGGCTGTCACCCCTGTGCTGTGAGGGTGACATTGGGGACACAGGGACCCCAAAATTGTGCCAGTGTCACCGTGCGGTGCCTGTGCTGGGTCTGTGTCACCCCAATGCTGTGACAGTGACACTGGGACCCCTAAATCCTGGCAGTGCCGCTGTGGGACCCCAGTGCTGTGACAGTGACGTTGGGGACCCCCAAATCGTGGCTGTGTCACCGTGGGACCCCTGTGCTGGGTTGGTGTCACCCCCATGGTGTGACAGTGGCACTGTGGGACCCCACATTCTGTGACAGTGACATTGGGACCCCTGTGGTGGCCCTGTGTCACCCCAATGCTGTGATAGTGACAGGGGGACCCCCAGATCCCGGCAGTGTCACCATGGGACCCCTGTGCTGGGTTTGTGTCACCCCAGTGCTGTGACAGTGACATTGGGGACCCCCAAATCCTGGCCCTGTCACGTTGTGGGAACCCACATAACGTGACAGTGACATTGGGACACAGGGACCCCCAAATTGTGGCAGTGTCACTGTGGGACATAATGTGACAGTGGCATGGGGACACAGGGACCCCCAAATTGTGGCAGTGTCACTGTGGGACATAATGTGACAGTGGCATGGGGACACAGGGACCCCCAAATTGTGGCAGTGTCACTGTGGGGTGCCTTTGCTGGGCCTGTGTCACCCCCAGGCTGTGACAGTGACATTGGGACCCCTAAATTTTCCCAGTGTCGCTGTGGGTTGCCTGTACTGGGTTTGTGTCACCCCAATGCTGTGACAGTGACATTGGGGACCCCCAAATTGCGGCGGTGTCACCCTGGGACCCCTGTGCTGGGTCTGTGTCACCCCAATGCTGTGACAGTGACATTGGGGACCCCCCAAATTCTGGCTGTGTCGCTCTGGGACCTTCGCACTGTGGCCCTGTCACCCCAGTGCTGTGACAGTGACATTGGGGACACAGGGACCCCAAAATTGTGGCAGTGTCACCGTGGGACTCCTGTGCTGGGGCTGTCACCCCCCAGTGCTGTGACAGTGACATTGGGGACCCCCCAAATCGTGGCTGTGTCACTGTGGGAACCCTAATGTGGATCTGTGTCACCCCCGCGGTGTGACAGTGACACCGTGGGACCTCACATGCTGTGACAGTGACATTGGGGACCCCCAAATCCTCGCACTGTCATTGTGGGAACCCACATAACGTGACAGTGACATTGGGGACACGGGGACCCCAAAATAGTGCCAGTGCCACTGTGGGACCCCAATGCTGTGACAGTGACGTTGGGACCCCCAAATTGTGGCTGTGTTGTTGTGGGGTGCCTGTGTTGGGTTTGTGTCACCCCAATGCTGTGACAGTGACATTGGGGACCCCCAAATTGTGGCAGTGTCACCGTGGGAGCCTCGTGCTGGGGCTGTCACCCCCAGTGCTGTGGCAGTGACATGGGGACCCCAAATTGTCACTGTGGGACCCCTGTGCTGGGTCTGTGTCACCCCAATGCTGTGACAGTGACATGGGGACCCCCAAATCCTGGCAGTGTCCCTGTGAGACCCCCCCAAACTGTGACAGTGTCACCCCCACAGTGTGACAGTGGCGCCGTGAGACCCCCAAACTGTGGCTGTGCCACCCCCCAGACTGTGACAGTGGGACCCCAAATGTTGGCACTGTCACCCCCAAACTGTGACAGTGGCGGTGTCACCTTCAGGCTGTGACAGAGACATTGGGACCCCAAATTGTGACAGTGTCACCCCCCAGGCTGTGACAGAGACATTGGGACCCCCAGAACTGTGACAGTGTCATCCCCAAATTGTGGCAATGTCACCCCAGGGCTGTGACAGTGACATTGGGACCCCCCCAAAACTGTGACGGTGTCACCCCCAAATTGTGGCAATGTCACCCCAGGGCTGTGACCGTGACATTGGGACCCCAAAGTGTGACAGTGTCACCATGGCCACCCTTAAATTGTGGCAGTGTCATCTCCAGGCTGTGACAGTGACAGTGGGACCCCAAAGTGTGGCAGTGTCACCCCCAAACTGTGATAGTGGCAGTGTCATCTTCAGGCTGTGACGGTGACATTGTGACCCCAAATTGTGACAGTGTCACCCCCAAATTGTGGCAGTGTCACCCTCAACATGTGACAATGACATTGTGATCCCCAAAGTGTGGCAGTGTCACCCCCAAATTGTGACAGAGACATTGGGACCCCCAGACTGTGACAGTGGGATCCCAAATTGTGGCAGTGTCACCCTCAACGTGTGACAGTGACATTGTGACCCCCAAAGTGTGACAGTGTCACCCCCAAACCGTGACAGGGACATTGGGACCCCAAATTTTGGCAGTGTCACCCCCAAATTGTCACATTGTGACCCCCAAATTGTGACATTGTCACCGTGGGACCCCGGTATTGTGACAGTGTCACCCCCAAATTGTGATAGTGACAGTGTCACCCCCAGGCTGTGACAGTGACATTGGGACCCCAAAGTGTGACAGTGTCACCCCCAAATTGTGATAGTGACAGTGTCACCCCCAGGCTGTGACAGTGACATTGGGACCCCGAATTGTGGCAGTGTCACCCCCAAATTGTGGCATTGTCACTGTGGGACCCCGGTATGTGTCAGTGTCACCCCCAAATTGTGGCAGTGACATTGTGACCCCCAAAATTGTGATAGTGTCACCCCCAAATTGTGACAGTGACATGGGGACCCCCAACACTGTGACAGTGTCACCCTCAATGTGTGACAGAGACATTGGGACCCCAAAGTGTGACAGTGTCACCCTCAATGTGTGACAGTGACATTGGGACCCCCAACACTGTGACAGTGTCACCCCCAAACCGTGACAGGGACATTGGGACCCCAAATTTTGGCAGTGTCACCCCCAAGTTGTGACAGTGGTGGTGCCACCTTCAGGCTGTGACCGTGACATTGGGACCCCAAAGTGTGACAGTGTCACCGTGGGATCCCCCAGATTGTGTCAGTGTCACCCCCAAATTGTGACAGTGTCCCCTTCAGGCTGTGACCGTGACATTGGGACCCCAAGCTGTGACAGTGTCACTCTCAACATGTGGCAGTGACATTGGGACCCCCAAAACTGTGACAGTGTCGCCCCCAAATTGTGACAGTGACATTGGGACCCCAAAATTGTGACAGTGTCACCGTGGGATCCCCCAAACTGTGACGGGGACATTGGGACCCTGAATTGTGACAGTGTCACCCCCAAATTGTGACAGTGTCACCCTCAAATTGTGACAGTGTCACCCCTGGGCTGTGACAGTGACATTGTGACCCCAAAATTGTGACAGTGTCACCGTGGGATCCCCCAAACTGTGACGGGGACCTTGGGACCCCGAATTGTGACAGTGTCACCCCTGGGCTGTGACAGTGACATTGGGACCCCAAAATTGTGACAGTGTCACCGTGGGATCCCCCAAACTGTGACGGGGACCTTGGGACCCTGAATTGTGACAGTGTCACCCCTGGGCTGTGACAGTGACATTGGGACCCCAAAATTGTGACAGTGTCACCCGTGGGATCCCCCAAACTGTGACGGGGACCTTGGGACCCCCAAATTGTTGCAGTGTCACCCCCAAACTGTCTCTGTTGGTGTCACCGGGGTCACCCCGTCCTTGTCACCGGGGTCGTGCCCTTGGGGACAATCCCGGGGTCACCCAGGGGTCAGCTCCGGGAAAAAAGGGGGTCCCAAATCCTGGGGGTCCCCAAAATCCTTGGGGTTGGTGTCCCCAAATCCTGGGGGTCCCCAAAATCCTTGGGATTGGTGTCCCCAAATCCTGGGGGTCCCCAAAATCTTTGGGCTTGGTGTCCTGAGGGTCCCCAAATTTTTAGGGATTGGTGTCGTGGGGGTCCCCAAATTTTTAGGATCGGTGACTTGAGGGTCCCCAAATCTTTGGGGTTTGTGTCATGAGGGTCCCCAAAATCCTTGGGATTGGAGTTTTGGGGGATCCTCAGAATCTTTGGGGTCGGTGTCCTGGGGGTCCCCAAATCCTTGGGATTGATGTCCCCAAATCTTTGGGATTTGAGTTCTAGGGGTCCCCAAATCCTGGGGGTCCCCAAAATCCTTGGGGTTGGAATTCTGGGGGTCCCCAAATCTTTGGGATTGAAGTCCCCAAATCTTTGGGATTTGAGTTTTAGGGGTCCCCAAATCCTGGATCCCCCAAAAATCCATGGAATTGGTGACATGGGGGTCCCCAAATCCTTGGGATCGGTGTCCCCAAATCCTGGGGGTCCCCAAAATATTTGGGATTGGTGACACGGGGGTCCCCAAATCCTTGGGATTGATGTCCCCAAATCCTGGATCCCCCAAAAATCCTTGGGATTGGTGTCCCCAAATCCTTGGGATTTGAGTCATGGGGGTCCCCAAATCCTGGATCCCCCAAAAATCCGTGGGATTGGTGTCATGGGGGTCCCCAAATCCTTGGGATCGGTGTCCCCAAATCCTGGGGATCCCCAAATTCTTGGGATTGATGTCCCCAAATCCTGGGGGTCCCCAAATAATTGGGATTGGTGTCCCCAAATCCTGGGGGTCCCCAAAATATTTGGGATTGGTGTCCCCAAATCCTGGGGATCCCCAAAATCTTTGGGATTGGTGTCCCCAATTCTGGAGTCCCCAAATCCTTGGGATTGGTGACATGGGGGTCCCCAAATCCCGGGGGTCCCGAAATAATTGGGATTGGAGTTCTGGGGGTCCCCAAATCTTTGGGATCGGTGTCCTGTGGGTCCCCAAATTTTTTGGGATTGGTGTCATGAGGGTCTCCAAATCCTGGATCCCCCCAAAATCCTTGGGATTGGTGACATGGGGGTCCCCAAATCTTTGGGATTGGTGTCCCCAAATCCTGGATCCCCCCAAAATCCTTGGGATTGGTGACACGGGGGTCCCCAAATCCTTGGGATTGGTGTCCCCAAATCCTGGGGGTCCCCAAATAATTGGGGGTTGGTGATATGGGGGTCCCCAAATCTTTGGGATTGGTGTCCCCAAATCCTGGATCCCCCCAAAATCCTTGGGATTGGTGACACGGGGGGCCCCAAATCCTTGGGATTGGTGTCCCCAAATCCTGGGGGTCCCCAAATCCTGGGGGTTGGTGATATGGGGGTCCCCAAATCTTTGGGATTGGTGTCCCCAAATCCTGGGGGTCCCCAAATCCTGGGGGTTGGTGATATGGGGGTCCCCAAATCTTTGGGATTGGTGTCCCCAAATCCTGGGGGTCCCCAAATCTTTGGGATCGGTGTCCCCAAATCCTGGGGGTCCCCAAAATCCTTGGGATTGATGACATGGCGGGTCCCCAAAATATGTGGGATTGGTGACGTGGAGGTCCCCAAATCTTTGGGGTTGGAGTTCTGGGGGTCCCCAAATCCTTGGGATTGGTGTCGTGGGGGTCGCCAAATTTTTAGGATCGATGACTTGGGGGTCCCCAAATCTTTGGGATTGGTGTCCTAGAAGTCCCCAAAATCCTTGGGATTGGTGACATGGGGGGGTCCCCAAATCCTTGGGATTGGTGTCCCCAAATCCTGAGGGTCCCCAAATTCTTGGGGTTACCGTCCTGAGGGTTCCCAAATCCTGGGGGTCCACAAAATCTTTGGGATTTGAGTTCTGGGGTTCCCCAAATAATTGGGGTCGGTGTCTTGGAGGTTCCCAAATCTTTGGGATCGGTGACATGGGGGTCCCCAAATTCCTGGCGTGGATGTCCCCAAATCTTTGGGATTTGTGTCCCCGTTCCTGGATCCCCCAAAATCTCCGTATTTTAACAGCGGTTACGGATTTAGGAGCGGTTTCAGGGTTTAGGAGCGGTTTTAACGCTTAGGACCAATTTCAATTACGGAATTGTGGGTTTAGGAGCGGTTTTAGGGTTTGGGAGCAGTTTTAGCAGAGTTGGCTTTTCTTTCTAGCCTGGATTTAGGATCGTTTTTAACAGCTCAGTTGTGGATTTAGGAGCGGTTTTAGCAGTTAGGACTGGTTTTAGGAGCAGAATTGGAGGTTTAGGAGCGGTTTTAGGGTCGGTTTTAGGGTTGGTTTTAGCAGCGGAATTGTGAATTTAGGAGCTGATTTAGGAGCAGATTTGGGGATTTAGGAGCAGTTTTAGCCGCGGATTTAGGAGTGGTTTTAGGAGCGGAATTGCTGATTTAGGAGCGGATTTAGGAGCAGAATTAGGAGTGGTTTTAGCCGCAGAATCGGGGGTTTAGGAGCAGTTTTAGCCCTATTTAGAATCGGCTTTGGCGTCGTCGTTTCTTCTTTTTTGCGCGCATTTAGGAGCGGTTTTAGGAGCAGACTTAGGGTCGGTTTTAGCAGTGGAATTGTGGATTTAGGAGTGGATTTAGGAGCGGTTTTAGGAGCAGAATTAGGAGTGGTTTTAGCCACAGAATTGTGGATTTAGGAGCTGTTTTTAGCCCTGTTTAGGATCGGATTCAGCGTTGTTGTTTCTTCTTTTTTGCGCGCATTTAGGAGCGGATTTAGGAGCAGATTTAGGGTCGGTTTTAGCAGCGGAATTCTGGATTTGGGAGCAGATTTAGGAGCAGAATTAGGATTGGTTTTAGGAGTGGAGTTGGAGATTTAGGAGCCATTTTAGGAGCAGAATTAGGAGCGGTTTTAGCAGTGGAATTGCAGATTTAGGATCGGTTTTAGGAGCGGAATTGTGGATTTAGGAGTGATTTTAGAATCGGTTTTAGGGTTGGTTTTAGCAGCGGAATTGCGGGTTTAGGAGCGGTTTCAGCGTTGGTTTAAGAAGTGGAATTGGAGATTTAAGAGCGGTTTTAGGAGCGGATTTGTGGATTTGGGAGTGGATTTAGGATCGGTTTTAAGATTGGTTTTAGGAGTGAAATTGGAGATTTAGGAGTGATTTTAGGAGCAGATTGAGGAGCGGTTTTAGGCCTGAAATTGCGGATTTAGGATCAGTTTTAGGATCGGTTTTAGGAGCGGAATTGGGGATTTAGGAGCGGATTTAGGATCAGATTTAGGATCAGTTTTAGGAGCGGAATTAGGAGCGGTTTTAGGAGCAGAATTTTGGATTTAGGAGCAGTTTTAACACTTAGGACTGGTTTTATCATTTAGGACTGGTTTTAACCCTTGAATTGCCATTTCAAGTCCATTTTTAACCCCTTAAAACCGATTTCAACTGCGACTTTTGCCTCGAATTTCCATTTTTTTCCAGGAATTTCATATTTCTTCATATTTTTAACCAATTTTTTCCCAAATTTTCCAGGATTTTGGGCGAGGGCAATGCCGCCCTCGTGGCCCTGGACTCGGCGGCGCCGGGCAAGCGCATCCGCAAGCCCTCGCTGCTCCACGAGGGCTTCGAGAGCCCCACGATGGCGTCGGGAGCGGGGCGGGGATTTAGGAGCGGGTTTAGGGTCGGGTTTAGGAGCGGAATTGGGGATTTAGGAGCAATTTTAGGCGCGGTTTTAGGAGTGGAATTGGAAATTTAGGATCGGTTTTAGCCGCTGTTTTAGGGTCGGTTTTAGGAGCGGAATTGTGGATTTAGGAGCGGATTTAGGATCGGTTTATAGGAGCGGAATTGTGGATTTAGGACTGGATTTAGGATCGGTTTTAGGAGCAGAATTAGGATCGGTTTTAACTATGGAATTGGTGATTTAGGAGCGGATTTAGGATCGGTTTTAGCAGCAGAATTAGGAGTGGTTTTAAGAGTAGAATTGTGGATTTAGGAGCAGATTTAGGATTGGTTTCAGGAGTGATTTTAGCAGTAGAATTGTGGATTTAGGAGCAGTTTTAACCCTATTTAGGTTTGGTTTTAGCGCCATCGTTTCGTTCTTTTCACCCACATTTGGGAGCGGTTTTAACACCAGAATTGAGGATTTAGGACTGTTTTTAACACTTGGAACCAGTTTTAACCCTTGTATTGCCAATTTCAGTCCATTTTTAACCCCTTAACACCGATTTTAACCGCGACTTTTGCGTCGATTTTCACGTTTTTTCAGGAATTTCTCCCCCAAACCGCCCTAATTCCATTTTTAACCCTTTATTTCCCAAATTTTCCAGGATTTTGGGCGAAGGCAATGCCGCCCTCGTGGCCCTGGACTCGGCGGCGCCGGGCAAGCGCATCCGCAAGCCCTCGCTGCTCTACGAGGGCTTCGAGAGCCCCACGATGGCGTCGGTGCCGTCGCTGGCGGCGCCGCAGGCGAATCCTCCTCCCCCCGAGGTGTCGAACCCCAAGAAGCCGGGCAGGGTCACCAACCAGCTCCAGTACCTGCACAAGGTGGTGATGAAGGCGCTCTGGAAGCATCAGTTCGCCTGGCCCTTCCGGCAGCCCGTGGACGCCGTCAAGCTCGGCTTGCCGGTAAAAAAATTTAAATTTTTTATGGGGTTTTTTGGGGTTTTTTTGCGGTTTTTATGGGGTTTTGTGCGTGCGGATTTTGTCCCTAATCCCGATTCTCAAGGAGGTTCTGATGCGGAATTTTGTCCATCTCAGGCTCAGGTGCCAACTCAAAAATTGTTTCCATATTTAGGCTTGAGATTAATTTTGGGGTTAGCTCAAAATGTGATTTAAAGCTGGTCCTAAAATGAGTTAAAATGTGATCCTGAAAGTGATTTAAAGCTGATCCTAAAATTAATTTAAAGGTGATCCTAAAAGGGACTTAAGCCTGGTCCTTAAAGTGATTTAAAGCTGATCCTAAAAGTGATTTAAAGCTGATCCTAAAAGGGATTTAAAGCTGATCCTAAAAGGGATTTAAAGCTGATCCTAAAAGCGATTTAAAGCTGATCCTAAAAGGGATTTAAAGCTGATCCTAAAAGGGATTTAAAGCTGATCCCAAAAGTGATTTAAATCTGATCCTAAAAGGGATTTAAAGCTGATCCTAAAAGTGATTTAAAGCTGGGCCCTTCCGGCAGCCCGTGGACGCCGTCAAGCTCGGCTTGCCGGTAAAAAAATTTAAATTTTTTATGGGGTTTTTTGGGGTTTTTTTGGGGTTTTTTGGGGTTTTGTGCGTGTGGATTTTGTCCCTAATCCCGATTCTCAAGGAGGTTCTGATGCGGAATTTTGTCCACCTCAGGCTCAGGTGCCAACTCAAAAATTGTTTCCATATTTAGGCTTGAGATTAATTTTGGGGTTAGCTCAAAATGTGATTTAAAGCTGGTCCTAAAATGAGTTAAAATGTGATCCTGAAAGTGATTTAAAGCTGATCCTAAAATTAATTTAAACGTGATCCTAAAAGGGACTTAAGCCTGGTCCTTAAAGTGATTTAAAGCTGATCCTAAAAGGGATTTAAAGCTGATCCTAAAAGTGATTCAAAGCTGATCCTAAAAGTGATTTAAAGCTGGGCCCTTCCGGCAGCCCGTGGATGCCGTCAAGCTCGGCTTGCCGGTAAAAAAATTTAAATTTTTTATGGGGTTTTTTGGGGTTTTTTTGGGGTTTTCGTGGGGTTTTGCGCGTGCGGATTTTGTCCTTAATCCCATTCTTCAGAGAGGTCCCGGTGTCAGGTTTTGTTTCCCTCGGTTTTAGGCGCCTGACAAAAAATTGTGTTTTAATTTAGGCTTGAGGTTAATTTAGAACTGATCTTAAGCTTAGCTTAAAGCTGATCCTAAAATTAATTTCAAGGTAATCCTAAAAATGATTTAATGGGGATCATGGAGTTAATCTCAAAATAATCCTAAAATTAATTTCAAGGTCCTGAGGTTAGTTTCAGGCTGATCCTAAACCTGATGTAAACGTGGTCCTAAAAGTGATTTAAAGCTGATCCTAAAAGTGATTTAAAGCTGATCCTAAAATTGATTTAAAGCTGATCCTAAAAGTGATTTAAAGCTGATCCTAAAAGCGACTTAAAGCTGATCCTAAAAGGGATTTAAAGCTGATCCTAAAAGGGATTTAAAGCTGATCCTAAAATTGATTTAAAGCTGATCCTAAAAGGGATTTAAAGCTGATCCTAAAATTGATTTAAAGCTGATCCTAAAAGCGATTTAAAGCTGATCCTAAAAGGGATTTAAATCTGATCCTAAAAGGGATTTAAAGCTGATCCTAAAAGTGATTTAAATCTGATCCTAAAAGTGATTTAAAGCTGATCCTAAAAGGGATTTAAAGCTGATCCTAAAAGCGACTTAAAGCTGATCCTAAAAGGGATTTAAATCTGATCCTAAAAGCGATTTAAATCTGATCCTAAAAGTGATTTAAAGCTGATCCTAAAGTGATTTAAAGCTGATCCTAAAAGCGATTTAAATCTGATCCTAAAAGTGATGTAAAGCTGATCCTAAAAGTGATTTAAATCTGATCCTAAAAGGGATTTAAAGCTGATCCTAAAAGGGATTTAAATCTGATCCTAAAAGGGATTTAAATCTGATCCTAAAAGGGATTTAAATCTGATCCTAAAAGTGACTTAAAGCTGATCCTAAAAGTGATGTAAAGCTGATCCTAAAAGGGATTTAAATCTGATCCTAAAAGGGATTTAAAGCTGATCCTAAAAGGGATTTAAAGCTGATCCTAAAAGGGATTTAAATCTGATCCTAAAAGGGATTTAAAGCTGGGCCCTTCCAGCAGCCCATGGATGCCGTCAAGCTCGGCTTGCCGGTAAAAATTGAATTTATTTTGGGGTTTTTATGGGGTTTTTATGGGGTTTTGTGCGTGTGGATTTTGTCCTTAATCCCAGTTCTCAAGGAGGTTCTGATGTAAAATTTTGTCCATCTCAGGCTCAGGTGCCAACTCAAAAATTGTGTCCTTGTTTAGGCTTGAGATTAATTTTAAACTGATCCTAAAATTAATTGAAACCTGATCCTAAAAGTGGTTTAAAGCTGATCCTAAAAATGATTTAATGAATAAATGATTTAATGAATTTCAAGGTCCTAAGATGAGTTTCAGGCTGATCCTAAACCTGATGTAAACGTGGTCCTAAAAGTGATTTAAAGCTGATCCTAAAATTGATTTAAACGTGATCCTAAAAGGGACTTAAGCCTGATCCTAAAAGTGATTTAAATTTGATTTAAAAGTGATTTAAAAAGTGATTTTGTCCTTAATCCCGTTCTTCAGAGAGGTCCCGGTCTCAGATTTTGTCTGCCTCAGTTTTAGGTGCCTGACAAAAAAATCTGTCCTTGTTTAGGCTTGAGATTAAGTTAAAACTAATCCTAAAATTCACTTAAAGGTGATCCTAAACCGAATTTTAAAGTTGATCCTAAAATCAGTTTCCTTTCCTAAATTTTCTCCCTCTCAGTCTCAGGTGCTTGTCTGAAAATTCTGTCCTCGTTTAGGTCTGAGATTAAATTAAAACTGATCCTAAAATTCATTTAAAGGTGATCCTAAACCTAATTTACTGGGAAGTTTTCAACAAAGTTCCCCGGAATTCAGTAAAAATTCCAAAAAATTCTATGAAAATGTCAACAAAATCCTGGAAAATTCAGTAAAAATTTTTAAAAAATTCTAGGATATGTTCCTTAACGTTCTAACAAAATTAAAAAAAAAAAAAATCCAGGAAAATTCCAACAAAATTCCAGGAAAAATGTCCCAAAATTCAGGCAAAATTCCAGCAAAATCCTCCAAAATTCCCAAAAAAAGGCCAACAAAATTCAAAATACTTCCAGGAAAAATGAAAAAATTCCCCAAAATTCTCATTTTTTTCCCTTCCCCCTCCCAAGTATGAGTTTGCCTCTCCCCTTTTGGTGCTTTTTGTGCCTCCCGGACCCAAATTTGTTGATTTTGGCCCCGATTTTGTGCAGGATTACCACAAGATCATCAAGCAGCCGATGGACATGGGAACCATCAAGAGGAGGTTGGAGAACAATTATTACTGGGGGGCGGCCGAGTGCATGCAGGACTTCAACACCATGTTCACCAACTGCTACATCTACAACAAGGTAAAAACGCACCGAAAATTTCACAAAAACACCCAAAAATCGTATTTGGAAAATCACAAAAACGTCACGAAAAGATCCCACGAAAAATCAAGAAAAAATGACCAAAAAACCTCCGAAAATGGCATAAAAAATACTCAAAAATACTCAAGAAATTGGACAAAAGTCACGGAAAAAGACATTAAAATATAGCCACAGATAGACCCTAAAATTGTACAAAATCAGCCAAAAATACGCACAAAAAATCAAAAAATAGCACAAAAAATCCCACCAAAGATTAAGAAAAATGAACAAAAAAACTGCAGAAATCGACCAAAAAAATCTCAAAATAGACCCCAAAATAGCCCAAAAATACAGCCCAAAATACACCCAAAAATGGACTTTAAATTGCACAAAAATCCCCAAAATAGACCCAAAAATTGCCCCAAAACACCAAGAAATATGTGCAAAAATCACACAAAAATACACCCAGAAATTGCAGAAATACACCCCAAAAATCACACAGAAATTCACCCAAAAATGCACCCAAAAATCGCACAAAATCGGCCAAAAAATCCCATTAAAATGCCACAAAAATCCACCCAAAAATTGCCCAAAACCATCCCAAAATCCACCCAAAAATTGCACAAAAATAAACCCAAAATCCACCCAAAAATAGACCCAAAAATGGCACAAAATTGGCCAAAAATGCCCCAAAAATGCCCAATTATTACTGGGGGGCGGCCGAGTGCGTGCAGGGCTTCAACACCATGGGCACCAACTGCTACATCCACAACAAGGTAAAAAAATCATAAAAATACCCCAAAATATGTTAAAAAAATCACCCCAAGTTTTTTACAGAAGTATCACAAAAAATCCCAGCAAAAATCAAGAAAAAATGAGCAAAAAAACTCCAAATCTGGCATAAAAATACTCAAAAATAGACGCAAAAATCGCACAAAAATGCACTTTAAAATGGCCCAAAAGTAGACCCAAAAGTACACCCAAAAATTGCAAAAAACCGCCCCAAAAATATGTGCAAAAATGACACAAAAATACCCAAAAATCCACCCCAAAATTGCACAAAATCAGCCAAAACATGCCACAAAAATCCACCCAAAAATTGCACAAAAATCCCCAAAATAGATCCAAAAATACACCCAAAAATTGACCAGAACAACCCAAAATACACCCGAAAATTGTCCAGAAATACATCCAAAATACGCCTAAAAATACACCCCAAAATTGCTCAAAACCACCCCAAAAATCGCACAAAAGCAGCCAAAAAATCCCATTAAAATGCCACAAAAATCCACCCAAAATTTACCCAAAACCATCCCAAAATCCACCCAAAAATAAACCCAAAAATGGCACAAAAATGCCCAAAAATGCCCCAAAAATGCCCAATTATTACTGGGGGGCGGCCGAGTGCGTGCAGGGCTTCAACACCATGGGCACCAACTGCTACATCTACAACAAGGTAAAAAATTATAAAAATACCCCAAAATATGTTAAAAAAATCACCCCAAGTTTTTTACAAAAGCATCATAAAAAATCCCCCCAAAAATCCCCAAAAAAAGACCAAAAAAACCCAAAAAACAGCACAAAAATAGCCAAAAATCCACACAAAGACTGCACAAAATCAGCCAAGAAATCTCATTAAAATGCACAAAAGTACAGCTGAAATTAGACTCAAATACCCCTAAAAATAGACCCAAAATGCACCCAAAACCGTCCCAAAATACACCCAAAAATGCCCAAAAAATACACCTAAAATCACCGCAAAAATCCAAAAATAGACCCAGAAACCATCCCAAAATACAGCCAAAAATACACTTTATAATTGCACAAAATCACCCCAAAATATTCCCCCAAATGCCCCCAAAAATGGCAAAAAACTACCCCAAAATAGACCCAAAAATACACCCAAAAATTGCCCACAACCAGCCCAAAATAGCCCCAAAAATCCACTTAAAAATCCACCCAAAAATTGCACCAAATCACCCCCAAAATCCACCCCAAAATATCCAAAAATAGCCCCAAAAATGGCACAAAAATGCCCAAAAATGCCCCAAAAATGCCCAATTATTACTGGGGGGCGGCCGAGTGCATGCAGGGCTTCAACACCATGGGCACCAACTGCTACATCCACAACAAGGTAAAAAATTATAGAAAAATGGCAAAAAATTATTTAAAAAAATTTCATAAAATTTTCTCCAAAAAATCCCCCCAAAAATCCCCAAAAAAAGACCAAAAAGAGTCCAAAAATGGCAGAAAAATACTCAAAAACTGCACCCAAATATCACACAAAATCAGCCAAAAAATCTCATTAGCAATGCACAAAAAGAGACCCAAAATCCACCCAAAACCATCCCAAAATACACTAAAAAATAGACTTATAAACAGACACAAAAACATCCAAAAAATACAGCCCAAAATACACTCCAAAATCCACTTTAAAATTGCACAAAAGCACCCAAAAATACACCCCAAAATAGCCAAAAAAATCAGAGAAATGCGCTCCTAAATAGACCCAAAAATTGCACAAAATCAGCCAAAAAAAATCTCATTAAAATGCCATAAAAATCCACCCAAAATTGCCCAAAACCGTCCAAAAATTCACCCAAAAATCGCACAAAATCAGCCAAAAAAAACCCATTAAAATGCTACAAAAATGCATCCAAAAATTGCCCCAAACCATCCCAAAATCCATCCAAAAATTGCCCCAAACCATCCTAAAATCCACCCCAAAAATGGCACAAAAATAGTCAGAAATAGATCCAAAAATTCCCATTAAAATGGCACAAAAATACACCCAAAAGTGAAAAAATCCCCCAAATTTTTTTATAATTCCCCTAAACTAAAAAAGTGAAAAATCCCCCCCAAAAAATTCCCTCAAAATTCCAAAAAATGCAAAAAAAAATTTGAAAAATCTGAAAATAATCCGAAAAAATCCAGAAAAAAAAATTTCCTGAACAAAATCAGAAAAAAATTCCAAGAAAATGCAAAAAAACATCGCTTGAAAATTTGGGAAAAAAAAAAATCCAAACAATGGAGAAAAAATCTGAAATAAAATCATTAAAAATGCCAAAAAATTTCGAGAAAAACTCTGAAAATTTCCCAAGATTTCCAAGATCTTTTCCCACTAAAAATTCCAATTTTTAACTTTTTATTTTTTATTAATTTTTAATATTTTTAGCCCACGGACGACATCGTGCTGATGGCGCAGACGCTGGAGAAGCTTTTCCTGCAGAAAGTGGCTCAGATGCCCCCGGAGGAGACGGAGCTGCTGCTGCCCCTGGCCAAGAACAGCCACAAGAAAGGGGCAGCCAGGGCTGCAGGTGGGAAATTGGGGTAAAAACCTGAAATTTTGGTAAAGAAATTGAAATTTGGTAAAAATGCTGAAATTTGGGGCAAAAAATGTGAAATTTTGAGCAAAAAATGTGAATTTTTGGGGCAAAAAAAGTGAATTTTTATGGTACAAATGTGAGTTTTGGGGGAAAAATCATCTGAGGTTTTGGGTAAAAAATGTGGGTTTTGAGGTGAAAATTGGAATTTTGAGAAAAAATGTGGATTTTGATAAAAAATGTGGATTTTGAGGAAAAAAATGTGAATTTTGGGTAAAAGCAGAGGAGACAGAGCTGCTGCTGCCCCTGGCCAAGAACAGCCACAAGAAAGGGGCAGCCGGGGCTGCAGGTGGGAGTTTTGGGGTAAAAAATCCAAATTTTGGTTAAAAAATCCAAATTGGGGAAGAATGCTGAAATTTGGGGCAAAAAATCTGAAATTTCGGGTAAAAAAGCCCCAAAATTTGGAGTAAAAAATGTGACTTTTTATGGTAAAAATGTGAGCTTTGGGGGGAAAAAAAAATCTGGATTTTGGGGTAAAAAATGTGGGTTTTGGGGGGAAAAACCTGGATTTTAGTAGAAAATGCGGATTTTGGTAAAAACCTGAATTTTGGGGTAAAAGACGTGGATTTTGGGGTAAAAGCAGCTGGAATTTGGATAAAGGCAGAGGAGACGGAGCTGCTGCTGCCCCTGGCCAAGGGCAGCCACAGCAAAGGGGCAGCCGGGGCTGCAGGTGGGAAATTGGGGTAAAAACCTGAAATTTTGGTAAAGAAATTGAAATTTGGTAAAAATGCTGAAATTTGGGGCAAAAAATGTGAAATTTTGAGCAAAAAAAGTGAATTTTTGGGGGTAAAAATGTGAATTTTTGGGCCAAAAGCCTCTGAGTTTTGAGGGGACAGATCTGAATTTTGGGGTAAAAAATGCGGATTTTGAGGTAAAAAATGTGGGTTTTGGTAAAAATCTGAATTTTGGGAAAAAAGTCTGAATTTTTGAGGAAAAAATGTGAATTCTGGGTAAAAGCAGAGGAGACGGAGCTGCTGCTGCCCCTGGCCAAGAGCAGCCACAAGAAAGGGGCAGCCGGGGCTGCAGGTGGGAATTTTGGGGTGAAAAACTGAAATTTTTATGTGCCTAAACCCCTTTGCCCAGGATTTTGGTGCCCTTTTAGGGATCCTAACCCTGTTTTCCCAGGTTTCTTGTATTTCTCAACCCATTTGTTCTAGAATTTTTGTGTTCCTAAACCCCTTTGCCCAGGATTTTTGCGTTCCTAAATCCCTTTTCCCAAATTTTTTATATCTCCCCAATCCCTTTTCCACGATTTTTATGTTTTCCCAACCTGATTTTCCCCAGGGTTTTTGTGTGCCTAAACCCCTTTGCCCAGGATTTTGGTGCCGGTTTAGGGATCCTAACCCCGTTTTCCCAGGTTTCTTGTATTTCTCAACCCATTTGTTCTAGAATTTTTGTGCTCCTAAATCCCTTTTCCCAGGATTTTTATGTTCCTAAATCCCTTTTCCCAGTTTTTTTGTGTTCCTAAATCCCTTTTCCCAAATTTTTTGTGTCTCCCAGTCCATTTTCCCAGAATCTTTGTGTTTCCCAACCTGATTTTCCCCAGGGTTTTTGTGTTCCTAAATCCCTTTTCCCAGGATTTTGGGGCCATTTTAAGGATCCTAACCCCATTTTCCCCAGGTTTTTAAATCCATTTTCCCAGGATTTTGGTGCCATTTTAATGATTCTAACCCAATTTTTTCCAGTTTTTTTGTGTTCCTAAATCCCTTTTCCCAAATTTTTTGTGTCTCCCAGTCCATTTTCCCAGAATCTTTGTGTTTCCCAACCTGATTTTCCCCAGGTTTTTTGTGTTCCTAAATCCCTTTGCCCAGGATTTTTGCGTTCCTAAATCCGTTTTCCCAAATTTTTTATATCTCCCCAATCCCTTTTCCACGATTTTTATGTTTTCCCAACCCGATTTTTCCCAGGTTTTTTGTGTTCCTAAATCCCTTTGCCCAGGATTTTGGGGCCATTTTAAGGATCCTAACCCCATTTTCCCCAGGTTTTTAAATCCCTTTTCCCAGGATTTTGGTGCCATTTTAATGATTCTAACCCAATTTTTCCCAGGTTTTTTGTGTTCCTAAATCCCTTTTCTCAGGATTTTGGTGCCATTTTAAGCATCCTAACCCCGTTTTCCCCAGGTTTTTTATCGATTTTCCCAGGATTTTGGTGCCGTTTTAGGAATTCCAACCCCATTTTCCCCAGGATTTTTGTGTTCCTAAATCTCTTTTCCAGGATTTTGGTGCCGTTTTAGGGATCCTAACCCCATTTTTTCCGGGATTTTTTAACCCATTTTTCCAGGATTTTGGTGCCATTTTAATGATTCTAACCCCGTTTTTTCCACGATTTTTTGTGTTCCTAAATCCCTTTTCCCAGGATGTTGGTGCCGTTTCAGGGATCCTAACCCCATTTTTTCCCAGGTTTCTTGTATTTCTCAACCCATTTTTCCCAGGTGTTTGTGTTCCTAAATCTCTTTTCCCAAATTTTTTATATCTCCCCAGTCCCTTTTCCAGAATTTTCCCAATTTTCCCCAGGGATTTTGTGTTCCTAAATCCCTTTTCCCAGCGTTTTGGTGCCATTTTAAGGATCCTAACCCCATTTTTTTCCGGAATTTTTTAACCCATTTTCCCAGGATTTTGGTGCCATTTTAATGATTCTAACCCTATTTGTTCCAGGTTTTTTGTGTTCCTAAATTCCTTTCCCCAAATTTTTTATGTTCCTAAATCCCTTTTCCCAGGTTGTTTGTGTTCCTAAATCCCTTTTTCCCAGGTTCTTTGTGTCCTTTAGAGATCCTAAATCCCTTTTCCCAGGATTTCGGTGCCATTTTAAGGATTTTAACCCCATTTTTCCCAGTTTTTTGTGTTCCTAAATCCCTTTTCTCACATTGTTTATGTGCCTAAATCCCCTTTTCCAGGACTTTTATGTGTCTAAATCCCTTTGCCAGGATTTTTGTGTATCTGAACCCCATTTTTCCCAGGTTTTTTGTGTTCCTATATCCCTTTTCCCAGGATTTTTGTGTTCCTAAATCCCCTCATTTCCAGGTTTTTTGTGTTCCTAAATCCCTTTTCCCAGGATTTTGGTGCCATTTTAAGAACTCTTAACCCCATTTTTTCCAGGTTTTTTATGCTTCTAAATCCCTTTTCCCGGGATTTTTGTGTTCCTAAATCCCTTTTCCCAGGATTTGGGTGCCATTTTAAGGATTTTAACCCCATTTTTCCCAGTTTTTTGTGTTCCTAAATCCCTTTTCTCACATTGTTTATGTGCCTAAATCCCTTTTCCCAGGATTTCTGTGTTCCTAAATCCCTTTTCCCAAATTTTTTGTGTCTCCCAGTCCATTTCCCCGGAATCTTTGTGTTTCCCAACCTGATTTTTTCCAGGTTCTTTTTGCATTTTCTAACCTATTTTTCCAGGATTTCGGTGCCGTTTTAAGGATTCTAACCCCGTTTTTTCGGGGATTTTTTTCCTGTAATTTCAGTTTTTAGGATCCAGCGTAATAATTTCATTAATCCCAAATGAATTTTTATTTTTCCCCAGCTCTGCTG